GCTGAGGAGAGGAGCGGGGCTTTTCTGCGACCCCTCTGCCCCAGCCAGGACCCCCGATCGCCACACCATACCTCCCCGCTCCCATATACTTCCGCTCCTTCTCTCCATCCACTCTTCCCTACCTGCGATCCTCTCTCCCACGCCTTCGAGCCACCTGCACCTTGCCACTGCCACCGGCCACCCGAGCCAAACAGCCACCATGGCCACGCTCCCCCGGCGCCTTCTCCACCTGGCGCTGGTGCTGGCCCTGACCCTGATGGCTGCCGCAGCCCGGGAGGATCCCCCCCCTGCGGTGTCTACCCCCCCGCATATTGACCACATTCAGCCCTCCTCCTCGCCGAAGATGGTTCAGACGCTGATGTGGATCCGGGGCAACAACCTCGGCCTGTCGCCGGTACGTGCCTCCTGCTCTGATATATGCCCATACACTCAGACATGCATGGTCGCGCGTGGCCCATGTGTGTGTGTGTTTGTGTGGCACGCGCTTACATGCGAGCGTGCATGTGTGAGAATGCCCACTGACATGCCGCACTCCCGGGGCACAGGATGACGTTCTGGATGTCACCTTTGGTGGGGTGAGTTGCCGGGACACGCTGGTCTACACGGACTCTCTCCAGATCGCCTGTGTTGTGGACTATCGCAAAGTATACAAGCAGCGGCCCGCGAAGGACCAGGCGGCTGTCGCCGGGGATGTGGCCCTGCCGATCGTCGTCACCACTGCCACGGGGGGCTCCTCCGTGGTCAACCCTCTATTTACTTTTCAAGATGGTATGCTCTGGTTGCCGCACCTCCTCCGGTCCCTCCCTCCCATGCCCGCTGACCATAGGCGCACTTAGACTGCCTCGTCTACTCATCTTTGACCAAGTGCAATGATGCTCATCGGGTTGTGGGCGCCAGTTGCAAATGGTGTCACCAGGCATCACGCTGCCTGCCGTTGGATCAGTCATGTCCCTTCCGTACGCCACATCTGGGCACCTGTCCCTTTCCCATCATCCTGCCGGCAGCCGGCCGCCAACACTAAACAAACATGCCGCTGCTGCCTTGGTGGGAATCCACCTGCACAAACACACACACACACACACACACATCGTAGCCTGCAGTCCAAACGGCCTGCGCATCACCTGCTACGAGCTCGGCTCGATTACCATCCTGAGTGTCATCATCTTCTCCATCTGCGTCGCGACGCTGGCCTTCGCGATCAAGGAAAGCCAGTATCTTGCTGAGAAGAAGCGCCGTCGGGCGTTGGCCCGGAAGAAGGGCGCCCAGTGCGTATCTGCCCACCGCTGCTCCGCGATGTCCCTGCCTGGTGGCTATCTATCGATGCCACCTACTGCTGGCTGTTGCTCTTTTTTTTCCCCCTCCTCCCATTTGATTCGCAGGATGTCGAGACCAGCCAACAGCTTCACCATACGGCCTTGCCCCTCCCTACCCCTTAGTCTGACTTTTCTCGCCACCCATCCTCCCTGCTCCTTCTCCTCCACTTCTCCCCCCTCCCTCTCCTCTCAGCACCCACGGTGGTGCACCTGCCCACGGCACGGCAGCCTCGGCGGCCGGCTGGACCATCAACGGAATATGGCGCCGCGGGCCGACACAGGCATCGGCGGCAACCATTGCCCCTGACAGTCCCCTCGCCCATGGGCAGGATGGCGGTCGGCCGTCCGCCGGGGGTGACCCCCGCGCGGGTGGCGTCTCGCCGGACATCGAGAATGAGGACGCCATCTTCGCCGGGATCGGGGCCCCCTCACTCACGAGCAGCCACTACCACCACCGGTCAGCTCCGCGAGATGTGTCCTCCTCGGCGCATGGCGGTGGCCCGGGCACGGTGGCAACGCCGGTGGCAACCGGCAATCGGCACACTTCCACCATCGGCCCCTTCCCGGCATCGGTCAATGGGATCCGCTCCTTCACCAATCTCCCCGGCATCCCGGCGGCGACAGGATCAGCCCTGGACGACGGGGACGACTCGGACGATGGCGAGATCACGAGCTTTAATTTTCTCGGCTCGTGAGTCGCGAATAGAGTGTGATCATTTTCATTACATTGGCAGTCTTCGAGGGGTGCTCCAATGGCCCTTTAGGATTGACACGAGCCCCAACCCCCCTGCGGCAAATGTATCCCCACCGAACAAGGACCGGCGGGGGGGGGGGGGGGGGAGGGGGCCACTCGAGAGGGAAGTCTGATCGCAACAAATGATGGCATCGGTGTTGCGTGCACACACCTCCCCTGCGCGGGGGCATCCCCAACGCACATGCGTCCGGGTGCATGAGCAGTTGAGCAAACATGTCTGCAACGGACAGTGGCACTCCCGGCGGCGTTTGGTCCGCATGCGGGGGGAGGTGGGGTGGGGCCAAACAAGGGATGCGTCCAGAGGACTCAGGCATGCCCTTAGCCAGGGGCAAGCAGAAAGGCACTGACCAGTGGATAATGTCCTTATTTTAGTATCCTATATTCTGCGTGAATTGATGGGGTTCATCCCGGGCACATGGACGGGCGCATGCATAGGTGTGTGCCACTCTCTCCACCGGCCGGGGGGGGGGGGGCGGGCGGCGAGAGGGGATCACATCGCTCTTGGACGCCCAGAAACCCAGGGGGTATGGATGGAAAAAGAGAGGCGGAGAAAGAGCCAGAGCCCTCTGGCCTTGGGGCCGGTGCCGAGTCGGTGGATTGCTCTCTCCAGCCACGACCGTGTCCGGCCCGATGTTTTGGGCGCGCGGTGGGGGCCCCTTTGCTTTCCTCGGGCGCATTTAGATAATTCGGTGGCTGCGTGGTCTGGGGCCGGCTGGCGTTCTTCCCTGCCGGGCTCCGGGCGCGGTGGGGGGGGGGGGCGGCCGCGGCAGACAGACTCCCATGTCCGTCCCCCTTCGAAAGACAGGGGCCGAGCATGTGCGCTGTCGTGTATTGAGAGCTCCGCCGACGCGGCGGTCTCCCCCGCGCGTCCAGGTTCCCTGGCCTTTCTGGGGGAGGGGAGCCCGGGGGGCGGAGTGGCGGGTCGGTCTCCTTGCATCCCTCCTCCCCCCCCCCCCCGCTTGGGTGGAAGAGGCCGACGTGTCGGCGTGTGTTTCTGTTTTCTTCGCACTCCGCCGAGAACGGCTCGGCATCTTGTGGGCGTCGCTTCCCCCCCTCTTCCTGGGTGGGGAGGGGGGGGGAGGGGAAACGGCCTCCCGAGAAGGGGCCGGGTGGGGTGGGGGGGTGGGCCACCGGGGAAGCCACACTTGGGCGGCCTCCAGGGGCGGTGTGTGACCCGCCCCCGCCCCCGCCCCCCCCCCGGCGAGGGAGAGGGGGACTCGCGGGGTAGCGCGGGGGTGTGGCTCCCCGCGCGACGGGGCTGGCAGCGGGCAAGCCCTGATGGCTTTTCAGCCATCGTCCCGAGGCCGCTCTCCCAGGTTGGCGCCTCAACCTCCCCTATCGCGTTTTCTTTTAAATTGTGTGTGACGTGAGGGTGTATAAGTATGAAGGTTCGTACTTTTGCCTCTTTCGCCGCGCGCGATTGACTGCTTCTCCTTCTCTCTCTCTCTCTGTCCCTTGTCTCCTTCCGCTTTGCCTTCGTCACTCCTCCCCTTCCCCGCCATGCTGCCCTCCCTCCGCCCTCCTCTCCCTTCTGTTTGCACCCATGCCCCCGATCGCCGCCGGAAGAGCGCGTCCGCCTCCCCCCCCCACCGCAGAGCACGTCAGAGGAGACACACACCCCGCCCCGCGCCCGTTCGAGAGAGGGACATACCTATCGCCGGTGTCCGCCGTCGGTTATGGTTGTCGCTCTCCCCTTTTGCGCCCGACCACCCTGAGCCTGTATCTCCCCCTGTTAGGGGAGAGACCCCTGCGCCAGGGTGCATATCCGAGAGAGGGAGGGAGGATCGAGAAGAGCAGGAGGAGGACAATGGTCGCCTGTGTCCCCTCCGTCGCTCGTGCTGCCGGTCTGCGCGCCCCCCCTATCACTGGCCCTCTTCCCCCCCTCTCTCGGTCCCCTGGGGCCCTGCGGAAGCCACGCCGGGCAGCCGCACATGCGCTCCCTGTGCTCGTGTGTTCCCCGTGGGTCCTGGGTTTTGTCGGATGCAGGATTTATTTCCCACATCCGCCGGTTCTTCCGTCGTTTGTGTCTCCTCTGGCGGTTCTCTGAGGCGTGATTGCGCGCTTCCGCGGTCTCTCTCTCTCTCTCCCCCGACTGGCGCCCTCCTCCTGGGCCACGATGGCCCGGTGGTTGTGTCATGTGTCTAACTCTCCCGGCTGTCGTTTGCACACACCTCTCTCTCTCCCTCTCTCCCTCCCCACAGTTCAACATCGCTGATCCCCAGACTGGCGGCCAGAAGCTCCTTGACATCGAGGATGAGCGCAAGATCGCTCCCTTCCTCGACAAGCGCATGTCGCAGGAGGTTGCTGGCGACTCCCTCGGTGAGGAGTTCAAGGGCTACGTCTTCAAGATTACCGGTGGTAACGACAAGCAGGGTTTCCCCATGATGCAGGGTATCATGTCCCACGGCCGTGTCCGCCTCCTTTTCTCCAAGGGCATGTCCTGCTACCGCCCCCGCCGCACTGGTGAGCGCAAGCGCAAGTCCGTCCGTGGCTGCATCACTGGTTCCGACCTCTCCGTCATGAACCTCGTCGTCGTCCGCCGTGGTGCCGAGACCGTCCCCGGCCTCAACGATGTCACCAAGCCCGTCCGCCTGGGCCCCAAGCGTGCCTCCAAGATCCGCAAGCTCTTCGTGCGTGCCCCGTGCATTCTCCATTCCCCCCTCTCCCCCATCATGGCCGCTTCTGCCACCACGCGGGCGGCGGTGCTGCGGCCATATGTGGGGCCGACTAACGTAGCGATGGAGGCCCTTCGAGGAGAGGGTTGTGGCAGCGCGCGAGAGCCATGTGCGACATATCTCTTCCCCTTCTCCTCCCCCCTCCGTGTGTCACTCTCGGGGAGAGGAGAGCGGGAGGAAGATTCGCGCGCGCTGGACCGTGTGTGGTCGCGTCCGTGTGTGTGTGTGTGTGTGGTGACCGATGAAGAATTTTTTCAAGTTATCCCTGTCTGAGTAACAAATTTCGTGACTGAGAACTTTGAACATGAGGCAACACACACACACACACCCTCGCCCGCCCTCTCTGAGGCCCTCCATCCCCCCGCACTCCAGCACCTTGCCTGCCCTCTCCCCCTCTGTCTCTCTCTCCCCTCCTAACGCAGTTCATCCTCCTCCTCCCCTCCCTTCCACCACCCGCCCATCTCTCCCTCTCCTCTCTCTCTACACAGAACCTGTCCAAGGAGGACAACGTCTGCGACTACGTTGTTCGCCGTGACATCATGAAGGGCGACAAGAAGGTCGGCTCCAAGGCCCCCGCCATCCAGCGCCTGGTCACCCCCCAGCGCCTGCAGCGCAAGCGCGCCCTCCTTGCCGAGCGCAAGGAGCGCAAGGCTTCCCACCGCGAGGCTGCCGCCGAGTACCAGGCCATCCTTGCCCAGCGCATCAAGGAGCAGCGCGAGAAGCGTGCCGCCCTTGTCCTCAAGCGCAAGGTCAACGCCATCGACGCCGCCACCGCCAAGGTTGCCGCCAACTAAAGGCTCCTCGGTTGTCGTCCTACAAATTCAGCGTTTCCTCCTCGTGTGGGTTGGCTGAAGACGAGAAGTGGTCGACGGTCGTCCGGGTGAAGGCGGCCAACGCGTGTCGTCGGGGGTGCCGCGCCGGCCCGGCGTGTGTGTCGTTCTCTGTCTGCTGGGAGCTTCTTTCTCCCTCCAGGCTGGCCCTCGCCTCGCCGCCTCCCTCCCCCTCGATGCTGCGCGTCCCTCCTTCCCTCTGGCCGTCGCCCTTCTCTCCCCTCCAGTCATCCAAGGCCCACTCGGACGTGGTCTTGTCTTCCCTGTTACCTTTGTTAGTGATAAACAATACCTACAAATGTGATATTTTCCCGCACAGCACCCGCTCGCTCTCTGCTCCTCCTCCCCCCCCCCGCACGTATCCTGTCCCCCCCCCCATGCCCGCCCCCGCTCTCTCTCCATGTGTGTGTGTCTCTCTCTCTCTATCCACGCGGCCTCCTTTCCTCGTCTCTCCTCTTCCCTGTCCGTCATCACCCCGCGTCGGAGGTAAAGGAGGGGAGGGAGTGTCTGCAGTCTCGTCGCCCTGTCCCCCCTTTCCCCTGTGCGTGCTGGTGTTGCTTCTGGGGGGGCTCTTGGTGTCGGGAATTCATGGGGCCCGCAGAGCCACCCCTCCCCCCCTTCCCAAGGAGCAGTGTGCCTTGTGCGAAGGAGGGCGGTGCGCGGATCCGCTCGCTGGGTCTCCTTGACCATCGGCACGAGGACTCCGGGGCCGGTGGTGGTGCGGGACATTTAGTGTGCTCACTCACACACACAGACACAAGGACAGAAATTCCGTCCAGGCGTCCCCCGTGCGCCCGCCCAGGAACGAGCGCCCCCTTGGTCCCAGGTCGTGGGGGGGGGGGGGGGGGACGGAAGTGGCCCCGACCTTCCGGCAGAGGTTCTTGGCAAACTCCACCACGGCGATCCCACAGCAGCGAGGCGCAGGCGGAATCATGTCAGGCTCAGCCCGCCGCCGGTTCGCGTTTGTGCCAGCTTTTCTCCGGGGCGGGGAGCCCGCTTTCCACACCAAGCCCGTTCTGACTGACGGAGAGTGTCACGTGCCTCCGGAGGAGCTACAGAACCGATTCCAGATGAGGGCATCCCTTGCCGAGGCGGCAGGTCCCGCTTCACACTTAATAAACCCTGACGGTTCTCTGAGTTTACATTCGTGGTCTCCGTCATTTGGATTACATGCATAGGCCTGGGCAACTGAACCACTTGGGGAAGACGCGCCGGCTGACCGGCCCTCGGTCACGCGCTATCCGGCATGCCAACCTACTGCCCCTCCATCTGGGCCTTGTGTTCCGAGTCCGATCTCCTCACTCCCTTTGAGCCACCGCATCCCCCCGGCTGGAAAGCCTGAAGGTACTTTCTCCACACCGCCCCCCCCCCCCCCCATTTGCGCTCATCCCCCCTCCCTTCCGCCCCATAGCCACCTTCTCCTCCTTCTCGGGTCTCTCGTCTATCTGCAGGAATCCATCAAACGTCAGCTTATCTCCCTCCCTGAGACCCCCCCACTCGCTCTCTGCGCCCCTACCCTCCCTCCCTCCCCCCCGCCCCCTGCCTCCCACTTTCCCACTTGTGGACATGAGCCGAAGCAACAACAACGACAGCTCCTACCGGGAGTTCGTGTATGGCACTATCCCCTCCACCGAGCATGAGAGCACGGCGGAGCTCCCGATCCCCGACACCAGCGCCTTCCGCGAGGAGTTCCCAGAGGACTCACCTGCCCATGGGCGCCTTACCCAGTCCATGGCCATGAATGGCCTGATGATGGGCCAGATCAAGAAGGAGATCCGCCTAAACGGTACGCCCTGCCGTGTGACCTCTTCCGCCTCTCTCTCCCTTTCTCTCTCCCTCTCTCCCCTTCTCCCTCTCTCCCTCTATCTCTTTTCTCGCCCATCCTCCCTGGCCCGCCTCCAACGTTGTAGCCCCCGCCGCCTTTCACCTGAGCATGACCCATTATTGACCGGTTGCTGGCCTGGCATGCGCTTCAGCTCGTGCCTCCTGCCTCGAGCTGACCAAGGAGGCCGATGATTGCCTCTTCACTCTGGGTTGCTCGTTCTTTTCCTTCCTGAAGAAGTCCCGCCTGGCCAGCGAGTGCATCGAGTCTTACTACAATGAGGCCCTGGACAATGTCATGCAGCACATTGCCGACAACTCCAACGTCCGCACGGACCAGCTTCTCAAGCAAATTGACAAGGATCGTCGTGTCAAGACCGAGGAGTTCAAGAAGGTGTTCCATGCTCCGGCACCGAGTCCCTCCGTGCCTGCTGCCGCCTCCGAGTAGGTGCTCGCCTGGGTGTGACTCTCTCTCTCTCTCTCCCCCGGTCCCGTCCAGGGCCATGCTCTCTTCTCTCTCATCTCTGCCCTTGGGCGCAGCAAAGTCGCTCACCTGGCAGGCGGACCCCC